CCGCGCGAGAAAAAAATATCGGTGTAGTACAAAGAGAAGCTAAATACGTAATGTCGTATATTCTTCAAGTTGTTTAACTGTTTCTTTTTAGATTAATTATATTCCTTTAATTTAATCCTTTCGACCTCGTATATCTCTCTCACTTGTCACTTGTATTGCATCGTAACAACTTCAATACTCGCGCGGATATCGTTTAATTACCGGTTCATGAAGACAAGAGGAGTGGCGAGGATTAGCGAAGCGCTCGCATTCGCAGTTGAGCCAGCTCGTCGATCTCTCGCGTCACTCCTCTGCCAAGAGCTTGCGTCGATTCCCTCGTGATAACAATGGCCGCGAACAGTGCAAAAAGTGGGCGGCGTGAATGAAAGCGAGACGGACGAAAAGAGAGAGAAACAGAGAGAACAAGAGAGAGAGAGAGAGAATGTGCAGGCCACGATCCTGAAAATCGATATCGCGGATACCGAGGTGCTTCCGTGTCGACGCTCGTAATTATATGCCGCGGAGCACGATATACCGCACGATTCCCATTATTGCCATCACGGTAGTGTAACTTATTGTTAGTGTACAGAGCACGATGCTCGAGCGATGGTGTTGAATGATGAGTAGCGACCAGCGCTCAAAAGTTTAACCCTTTTGGTACGCGCGATCATTAGAGTACGGAGATATGTAGCGTCTCCCAACGGAAGAAAAGACTGGAGCTGAATGAAAATCGTGAGTCTCACGATTTTTATTTCTTTTTATCCTTATGCTTTAATTATAATTATTCCATAACGATTGAGCAACCGCGAAATAAATAATATTAATGTTATTGATCACTTACAATCATTTATGCGACTGAATGAAATTTAATGTTGTATAATATACATATATACATATATACATTATAGAAAACAGTATTGAAAGGCACTTACAAGTTGCATGAACAATATATTATGTATGCGATTATGATTTATAGGAGACAAGAAATCACTAGCGAGTATTAGTTAATCATACCTGTCGAATTAATTAAAATTACAATTGTAGATTTTACGATTCGTCCCGTTTTATCTACGGTAAGTCCTGTTATAAGTAGAGTATAAACATCAATTATCGTATATGCTTAGAAATCATTGGCACAAGATAGTTATTATCTCGTGGCACGGACTTGCAGCGCGCGTTCGCAAACCATGACAAATTTCGTAACGCCATTTAGATAATTATACATAATTACTACTCATATATACATGTTAATCATTCGTTGAAGTTTCCAACGGTACAATCACTGTAACCGGATCTCTTACTTCATTTGCAACGTTGTAGATTGCGATTAAATGAACGGCTCATCGCCGTGACGTTCTGGCCCACTTTTAATTTCATATTAAGAAGTTAAAGAGAGGCGGATACTTCTTCAAATATTTCTAGTGTTTATATCGTACATATCGGGAGATACCTTGGTTGCGGAATAAAAAAATTAACGAATTAACGAGCAGCATGCAATTACTTCGGTAAATTATTTTAAGAAATCGAAGCGACAGGTGTTGCTTAAGTTTTGGCATTCGATAACGCAACTCTAACAAAGTCATGACTTCGGTAATCTCATGGGATATCGAAAGTGCATGATGTATTGCAATAACGCGGAACGAGTTACATCGAAATATCATGGCGAACGAAGTTTCTCCACAAATTACTTCACGTCCCAATGAATCAATCAGGAACGGTGTTTATGAAGTGAAGGCACCGCTGCTCATCAGCGCGATTATGCAAATTCTTAGCTCGTTATGGCAGATAAGGAGGCCTCGATCCGATATTCCCTCCCCCCCCCGGGAAAACGGCGATCGTGCATCGCACGTCCGGAATACGTAAGCCTCGGCGTACGCGCGTATATTTCAACGACGTTGCGGCGAATAATGCAATTTGCAACTCCTCTCCGCGGATCTTCCACGGCTGCAGCGAACCGATGCGGGCAGACCTACCCGTATTATTGCCAAGAGTCGGACGCAAGCTGCACCTGCGCGATCCTCAGTGCGCTTTACGCGCGCGCCGCTTTTATCGAGCATTATTTATTTCCCTCCTCCTCCTTATCCTCCCCTTTTGGAAAACATAGCAGAGATATATAGCGCCGCGCCGCGCTTCTATAACCATCGAGCGTGTGACGTCCCGGCGTTTAAGAGACGCGAAATTATAATCCATAACAGGATGTCCGAGAAGTCGCACGCTTCCTTCCGAGTACTGCGACAAATTCGCAGTTGGAAAATTTTATTATGAAAATCCCTCCACGTTATTTTCATAAAAGGAGATTGTCTCGAGTCCAACGTTTTTGTTGTTTAAAAATGATTTTAAATGTGCCGATGTAATATTATTGTGATTTATTAACTCTATGGCATTTGATGGGGGGAGGGGCATTCGGCTTGCAACTTAAAATATTTTTGTTTTATGTTCAATAGATACTACTTGTAATTAAATGGCAATCGCTAGTAAAATTGTTCGAATAATTTGATAAATTTTCTCCAGCTAATTGTAAATTTTGATGCGCAGAATCAAGTAGAGAAAAACTCAAAATATAGAACAAACACACGGCTGAATATTCATTACGGACCGCCCACTAGAATCTTAATTACCGCCTATCTAATTTAACTCGACAACTGACACATAATACATCTTTGCTATATCGTCCAACGTTTTGTTAACATTAATGTTATCCCGCATATTCAATAGTGCGTATTTTAATATTGTGTCCCCAAGCGATTGCTGATGCAAACATGAATTTATGCGAGCATTGTGATACCATAGTATCTTGCGGTATTTTTGCATGTAAGCTTTTCGAAACATGCGTTGTTTTCTTGGCTTATTCTTAGGCGATTATTCATGCCGAGACTTGTTACTTGGCAATCTTTTTTCTATGTATCGTCGATCACGAGTACAATGATGAATACGCAATAGGCTATACATATTATGGATTCTTTTACATCGATATTGTTCTGTACAAAAGTAGTTAAGAATAAAATTATAGATAGTTCACAACCTCGTTCATAACACTACTGTTTGTCTCAACGGTACCTGTTCTTTACACAGTATTAAAATTATATTAGGGGTATTCAAATAAGTTAAAGTTTAACGGTTTGACAGGTTATGTCGGGTTAAAGTCGAGTAAAAAGTTAATTAATTAACTTTGGGCGCGCTACTCTTTAAGGTTATGCAAATTACATAAGTGACTCATTAACCTATCACATTAATCTTTGGGTTAAAAGTGTAAAAATTAACTTTTTACTCAACTTTAACCCGACCTAACCTGTCAAATCGTTAAACTCTAACTTATTTGAATATCCCTATTTAGAATATTCGCGTTTTATTAAGAGTAGAATAAATCCATTTAATGCGATAGAAGGAATTAATGTTATTTATAATGTTATTCAATATCAAGATCCGCAAGAACTTGTTTTCTCAGCGAGCAAACAAGTACTTACTTCCATTTTTTAAATTATTTTTTTACATCTCTCAAGTTAGTGCTTTCTTGCTATTTTCTGTCATTTGTGATTACGTGCATGTAATCCAACGGAAATGCAAAATGTTCGAGTGCGTATATTAATATACTCTAATCGGTTTAAGATTATTCACTCAAAACAAAATTTCTATTTCAATTTTATCTTCGTTTGACCTCCACTTTTAGCGCGTATGTAACACATTTATCGCGAGAAAAGAAAGCGCGCGTTAAGTAACACATTGATTAAATAAGTGTCACGCGGCGGTGCAGGCGTACGACTCTTTAATTACTATTCCGTTCAGAAAGTCCACAGCCGCGTGTCGATCATCCGCAGCTCGGATGCCATGCTCTCATTAGATTGGGGATGCCGACGTTGAAAAAGAGATTGGATTTACTGCTCTCGAATAAGCGATCGAAAGAAGCTCGCTTTTGCGCAGGCTTCCCTTCGCGAGAATATTGGAGATAATTAATTCTCTCAGATAATTGATTAATCGGTTAACTTATTATATTATTCCATGACGATTGGTTAATATACGCGGTCTCTTAAAATTATATTGTCTATACAGAACTCTTTATTTTTATAGCTCTTTTTTTATTTTCCATGGGCAATCAATGTATGAGAATGTTTACTCGTTGAATATCGATTAACTTAATCGTAGGTCATATTTTTCACGCGGGATCCCTACCGTAAGGAGCTAATAAATTGGAGCTTATAGGTATTATATCAGGGGATTTTCTGGTATTCACGTCGCATATTTAACGCTAGACTTCTCGGCATTGTTTTGTTAGGTGTGTTGAGTGTTTTCCTTACAGTGACATTGATCTTTTTATTAGAAAGATTAGACACATCAGGCAAAGTTACATTTGTACTAAATGGACATTAGAATGCGACCCTTTTCCTCGACGCGTCACGCTCTTGAGCGACGGCCGTCGCTGAGCTCCAAGTTCGTTCTATACAAACTTCACGCTCTAGCCTGCTACTTACGAGGAAGGCAGGTGCGCCTCTAGGCTAACTCGCTTTCCTCGAGTGAACTCGCGCGAATGTTAATTGTGCGCTATTATTGGCAACGACCGGTCATGGAATTCTCCGCTTCTTTGAACTCGCTTGGATCGGTTCTCATTCCAAGATCTCGCCATGAAGTAAGTTACTTACGTAAAACGTGCAGTGATTACGCGATGGCGTTATATGCGATAATAATAAATGATACGAAGTCGCGCCAATAGATTTTACAAGAAAATAGGAAGCGATATTTATATTCAGTTATAATAAACTTGAATTTTGAGTACATAAATAAACGAGATAAATTTCCTACGTCTCTTTCCACTTGCAAAAGCATCCTAAATAAAAATGTTTGACACCTGCAGCGAATGATGCGTCAAGAGTCACGTGTGAATCGGAAATAAGTGATTTTTAAACGTCACGCAAGATAAATGGCGAATTGTTTATTCCGAAACAATCTACGAATATTCCTTCATTTCTATCGTGACAATTCGCACAAGCATTCTACATGATTACTTGTCATGATCTCTAATGACTTACCTGGGACGCCGACGGATACGAGTATCCGAATTGCGCGTACGCTGACATGTCTAGAATCTACGAGCGTTGAGTCTATGTGCAGTCCTCCGTCTTTTTCTCTCTGGATATATTGCGGAACCAAAGAGGATCAGGACACAAATGCATCTGCACGCACTACACTCCCTCTCTCTCTCTCTCGCTCTCTCTTTCTCTCTCTCTTTCTCTCCCTCGCTCTCACTGACAAGTTTCTACGCGCGGCAATATCGTAACGACATACGGGAAACGAAACGGGACGACGGAGCGCGACGAACGTTCGCCGGCGAGGAGTGCCATCAGGCTGCCCCGAGGTCCTGGGCGGCCGTACTCGGCCTCATGACGCACGTTTTTCTTCTTCAGCCACGCGGCTTCGTCAACGGAGTGTCATCGCGCTGTTTTGCGAATTACGCGCACTTCAATCCTGAATTCCTGCTTGGATGGTTCCCAAGGTGGAGCGAGGAACGACAGGGTCAGCGTAGACGCGCTATACCGAGGACGACTCTTCTCCTTGCTACGGCACGGAACGGTTCACGACTCACGACACGTCGCGTCATGAAAACAGCTGACACGGGACGCAGCACCGGGACGTGATAGCAGTATCAGGATGACGACACCGAGGAAGCGGGACGGACATTCGGACAGAGAGGCGAGCGAAGCGTCACGACCGGTTAGATATAGAGAGCTCACACAGTTCGTTCGTTCGTTCGGTCCGTCCCCTGCTCTCACAGGGCACTCCAGTCTGCGACTGACTCGGCACCACTCACACCACTTCAGCGGGCTTCTCCACTCCGCTCTGTCACGGCTCCCCCTCTGGCGAGGAAAACCGAAAGCAACGCTACTCCCACCATACGTCGTGGGCGGTGACTCGGATGAAACGGAGCAATCGCGAGATAGCGCGTTGGCCTAGGGGCGGGCTCTACGGGCTGTACGATTGTCTGTGATTGGTTGCGAGCACTTGGCGCGCGGGCGGTGGTGTTTTTTGAACGTGCCCATCGACATCCCGACGCCCTTCTCGACCCCTCTATTCACCACCGTGGAACCACCAGCGAGTGAACGATCTAGCGAGCTGCGTCGCGACGCCTTGCTTCGCCACGGGACGTTGCACGGCCACGACTGAACAAGGAGAAACGAGTATGTTTACGCGGCTCTACTCTTGTCAACCCAACGGCAAGGGACTTAAATAAATCCACATTCCTCCGCCCTCCTTACCGTATCACCCATACGTCGCCTATGTAAGGAGAGCGCACTACTTTTGCACCTTTTGTCCGGTTCACAAGATTGCAAAGTAACACGAAGCAAAGGTTGTGAAGCCTTTCGTGAAATGCCAACAGGCCCATTTTAGTTTCAAAGTAAAAAGAATTATCTCGTGTTTTAAGATAGGTCATTTTTCCCAAAAGTTTTATTAAATAAAATAATTTATAATAATATAATAGCGTAATCAATTTTCAATTAAACATATTTTGATATTCAATAATAATTTTAATATTTAATGGTATAACTTTTGAAAGTTGAATTCATATTATAAATAACATATTTCATCAGTAGAAAATTTGCAAACTCAAAATTCTTACAATGGGATATTAATATAGGCAAAGAATGGTTAAGTATATTTTGTACAATCGTAAAATAAAATTATAGAAATAATATTGTACTTTTTTTTGGCGCCAGTACATATAAGCCAAAGATTTGTTCTGGTCTATTGTTATATCGTTGAAAATTTCACGAGAACACCGAGCAGATTAGCCGTGGGATTTACCCCGTACTGTGCTACTTGGAATAATTTCACGGGTTATTAAATCGTACCAATGGACCGAAACCATTAACTGCGACAAAACATTTATTCGCTAAATTAGGGTAAAAGATTTGTAGATTTGTTTGCTCGTATATATAAGAATTTTCTTTATGAAAAAGTAAGATCCAATAACTGTTGTCTAAAGAGCTCTATATAAATTATTGAATTATTAAATTGCACCCCAGAGATATTATTATCTTAAATGAATTAAATAAAAAATTTAATTAATAATTATTTTTATAATTTTTATAATAATTTTTACATTTATTTACTGTCTTTATAAGAATAATTATTTATTTATATCAAGTATATTATACCAGGTATAAGAATTATTATTATTTATTTTTAACACCTATACACATACTAGTAACGGAACATAATCAATAATAAAAATATTTAAAGTAACGATATACAGAGAAGTGCTTATATATGACAAACACAACACTACTAAGCTTCGTTTCTTGAAAACACGAATCTGGAGAACAAGGGTGAACGGATGAATGGTCGACGGGCCGTCGGGGGACAACGAGAAAATAGTAGTTGCGATGCAACAAGATCTACCGCTGCTAATAGGATTAGCCGACAGGTTGACGAGGTCTTCGGGAGATAAACATCCTTTTGAGGACTTTGTACCTGTATCCCGAAGTTCTTCGAGGAAACGGTCACGGGACCCTCCGGATGATTTATTGTTCTGCGTAAACCTGGTGACCTGCCGATCACGCCCTTATAACGAACTGACGGTCAATGTTATAATGCGAACATTTTAGGAAACCATGTCCTAAAACCACCACGATTGTTATATCGTGGAGACGTAGCTGGTGCTATAATTTCCTCCAAAGTCACATGCGACGTCGAAACCGCACAATAATTCGCTTAATCCCTCTCGTTCTCTAGGGATCATCGTTCGCACACCAAACAAGAGACAACAAAACATCGCATTTTCACCACACATTCAACGCCGAATGCGCTTCCGTCCTTTCGTTTCATGTTAACATACCAAATTCCCTTGTAAATGCCAAATATATTCGCTAAACAAACATCCGCTAATGATATCGGTGTGACGGTGTTATAATTTATGTGCATGAAAATTTGTTATATATGAACGTGATATAATTAAGTGATTTGAATATATGTATGAGAAATGCACTATGATTCAAATTAATCGATGTTGTGGAATACTTCTTTTATATTGGAGTTGAAAATTTATAATAGAGTCCGTTTCCCAAATTTGTCGTGACGAGATTTTATCTTTTATAAGAAGATGTAACAAGATATTTTTTATCAGAGAATAAAAGGTTTCGGATTTTGTAAAGCATGTAACAATATTGTCTATGGCGTTTGCCTGCCGCTCGCCGTGACGGACGTCGAATAATTAAACGAGAAGAATTACGCGACGAATGCGGTGGTGACAAAATGAAATGTGGCGGCAGCTGGCGCGCGATGTGAAAATATCACTCGGATTGTTGAATGTCCATTTGTGTTTCGCCGTTGGACGTAACATTTATGATTACGGGAGTAAAACAGTACTCGCGGTTCGTCAGTTTTTATTGTTACACTCGGCCCGTTGTACTGTCGAGCATGAATTCACGGACAAAAGTAATAATATCACGGGAACGAAAGGCTATCTGCCGCAAAATTTTACATCGTCCGATTATTTTGCAGATCGCAATCGCATGCTGTCATTGCGACGTTATTTTCAATGTTTGGACCGATATGTTAAAGCCGAAGGAAAAAGGTCTTAATGGATTTAACATCGATATGCGCACACAAAGGAATAGATATCCGATTTTTGTGTTTACAAGTCACGTTTCTAACTGGACGACGACAGTTGTAAATCTCGGCTGGAATATCTGCAGTCAAACTGCGCAGGGTCGTTTGGTGTTTACAGCCGTCAAGTTTTTTCGAGTCTGATAAGGCGAAGGTTTCTACCAGAAGAAGGAACTGCCGGGTCCTCTCCCGCCGGCCAGTGTGTTCCACTATACTTGTCCGCAGGTCGAGTAAAAGTTAAACGGCCGTGTCCACTCGGCCCGTCTCCAGCGATAAGAATGCTTAATAAGGCACCAAACTACCCCGTCCACCTTCCTACTTCCTTACCCTTGTTCGTGAAAGGAACGTCTCTCCTTTATCTCAACATCGACCTAGTTAGGCAAGCTCCATATTTTTTGTCCAGCTCTTTAGTTTTTCTAATCTTCAAGAACAAATTCTGCAAAGCTGTTTTACGAAAAAAAAAATAAAGAAAAGCTTATTGTTACGCTTTCCTTTTTTTCCAAATTCGTGCTTCTCTTTTCAAATCTATTCATCGAGCTTATTTCATTGTACCGTTGTAACACTATGGTTAACTTTTATGACTACTTTATGACATATTCTCGCCATAGGTTCTACCGCTCTCCAAAGGCGAATCATTAGTTCTCTACCGCGGCGGAATTATAAAAGCGGGTCTAATTCGAGTGCCGTCGAACGGCGCGATTTACACCGTGGAATAAAACAAAAGATTGTTACGTAGGTTTTCGAGGCGAGCACGCTAAGGAAGAAGGAAGCTAATAAGGGGAGGTCCAGACTGCCCCGGCGCCTTCGGGATACCTTCGAGGAGCACCGCAGTTTTATTGGTCGGAACGTCCTTGTTCCTTCGTCCGTTTTCCTCTTCTATACTACTTCTGCGCCGACTTCGTCTTCCTCTTCGGCACACGGTATGGCCGACCAGAATGTTGCCGTAAAAAAAGCCGATCCCTTCTCCAGACCTCTTGTCCGTCCCTCTCCTCACCTTCTTCGTTCCCGTTCTCCCCCCGTAGAACGACGAACGAACGACCAACGAAATGTCAACCGTAAACCTCGCGAGGCAACACTAATTAACCCGACCGAAATAAACTGCAGCGCTCAACGGCGCTCCTCCGTCTCCCTCTCACTCGCTCGTCGAACCTCTTCTTCTTTTGTTCGCGCGGACAGATTCTACAGTCCTCGGTGAAGTTATAAGAAATATCTTGAAGCAGTCTTAAAATTCCTAATCGACCTGTTATGAAAGACCGCAAACCGTGGAAAATCAAACTAGACGAAAAAGTCGAAGTTTTTGTACTAATAATGTTCTAAATTATGCTATATGTAAATGTATAATTACTTGAAATATTTGATAACAATGTGACACGTTTTTAACGAAATAGATAAGACTCATCTGAGTTTTCGCGGGTAACAAAATAATAGTTAATAGATATGTATTACATCTCGCATAACGCGTATTACGTTCAAACCGATGGAAACGTGTAGCCGAAAAAAGGGAAGATTTCATCAGTCACCGCTGGATTTTATCGGCGCCGATATATATCGTTCCGATGCGCGATCGTCCGGAGAAATAAATCGGGGCTTTTTTGGCATAAGAGTAGGAAACATTGCTTTCAGTGCGGACGGTAGTACAAAGGGGCAAATCCGGATGACTCCCTTGTTCGCTTTCGTTCTCGCACTTCCACCTCGAAACAGTCGAATCCGCGGGGTTTCCCCTATACCGCCCGCTGCCAGGCATTTCCATTTCCCGCACACGAAAGAGGGACGCGTCAACCGCCATACATAACGCGGAGATATCTACGAAAACGCCTATGCCAGTTGCTATTTTATTTTTAAAACATTGAAAAAATCGCACGTGTATAAGGTACTTAAGATCGACGGTTGTAGAGCTGTTTGTACAACGAACGATTTTTAAATTAAGTATATATTGAAAAAATATAGCAAATTATTAATTATTAATGACAAAGAATATAGTTCAAACGATAAAAATTATTGATGTAATAATGAATAAATTTTTAGTATCTTATGATCGACGACAACATTTGTGAACATTTCGATTACTGAGCATTACGGCATAATATGTATATTCTATCGAAAAGAGTTTAGAAAAAGCAAGGTTTCCGCGTTATTGTGACACAGTGAAACGCGACAGAGTGATCAACCGAATTCGGTTGGATGCAG